TGAACTACCCATGGAATTAAAGCTGCAATGTATGCTGATGACTTGGTACTCTGGTGTACAAATGAAAATGCGACAGTGGCCACCAGACTGCTACAAAGAGCCATAGATGCAATGGCTGATTGGGCCGACAAATGGTGTGTCAGCATCAATATAGGCAAATGCAGCACCACCCTCTTTACCCTTTCTCCTAAACAAAAATCAGGTGTCATGCACATAAATGGAGTACCCCTGAGAGAGGATAAGGAGCCCACATACCTCGGCGTAACGTTTGAGGATAGATTAACATGGAGAAAACACATCAACAAGGCAGCAACCAAAGCCAGAAGGAGGGTAGCCATTCTGAGAAAACTAAGTGGAACCACATGGGGTGCAAGCGGGAAAATATTTAGGAAAGTTTACCAACAAAGTGTTTGACCACATCTTGAATACGGATCAACAGCATGGAGTTCGGCATCAAAAACCACATTGCAAGAATTAGATAAAGTGCAAAATCAAGCACTCAGAGTTACCACAGGCAGTATGAAATCAACACCTATAGCTGTGATGGAGAAAATGGGGATGACCCAAGCACTGAGTGAATGCAGAGACACCAAGATGCTTTTACAAGCAGAAAAGTTTCTTAGTATGCCCAGTCACCCTATGAATGAAAGATTCAAAAATTTAGCTTTGTGACGACTAAAGAGAAGTAGTTTTATCCACCAGGCCAAACGGCTCGGCAGACAAACCACTGATTTACCTGCAACTGATAGATCCTTAAATGCTGTCCCAGAACGGACCCCCTGGAGAGAGGAGTATAAGTTTCCAATACACATCAAGACTGAAGTGAAAGGGGTATTTGACAAGGAAGAACAAAACAGTGTGCAGCGCAAAACAGCCACCCTCAGTCTACTTGATGATGAATACCCGAAGAACCTTTGGGTCCGTGTTTACACAGATGGGTCAGCAGAAAGCGCAGTCAGAAACGGAGGTGCAGGAGTGTACATTGAGTATCCTAATAATACCAGGGATACAGCCAAATTACCAACGGGAAAGCACTGTCACAACTATGATGCAGAAGTTCAAGCCATCAAGATAGCGGTAGAGAAACTACTAAATATAGGGTATTTTTCACAACCAGTGGTATTCCTGATAGATGCAAAAGCAGTACTTCAGTCACTCCAGTCTGGAAAATTACCAAGCATACAGACACTATTATCCGAACTAGGCAACCGCTGTAAATTAGTAATGCAGTGGATACCTTCCCACTGTGGAGTTCCCGGAAACGAAAAAGCTGATAAACTAGCTAAGGAAGGTGCAACTGAAGAACAACCTGACATACCAGTCTCTTATCAACAGAAGTAGAGAATGATCAAATCAATTAGAATGCCACCGAAACTGGCACAAGATTATTACCATATTATGGACAGACCAGAGCAAGTCATTATCCTTCGCCTTAGAACAGGGCACAATCGACTTCGCTCCCACATGTACAACAAATTTAAGATTGGCCAATCAGCCATGTGTACTTGTGGACTGGCACCTGAAACAACAGATCACATCCTTCAAGACTGTCCCAGATTCAACACTTTCAGGCAAAACCTTTGGCCAAAAGAGACACTTGTGGAAGTCAAACTTTACGGGCCGCTTAGTGAATTACAAAAGACAGTGAAATTCATACTAGAGACAGCTTTGCAGATATAGACAATTTATTTCATGCGAACGAAAGAAGAAGAAGAAGACTTCCATAAGTCAAGATAGGATTTGGATAGCTTTTTAAGAATTCTCTTTCTCGTCTCAATTGACAAAGAAAGATTACATAAAATGTTCCTAATTTAAAAAAATGCTGCCTTGAATATATGAATACATATATTCACACACTGAAGTTTTAAAAATCAACCAGGCTGTACCAACAGGTTCATATTCCTCCAATTACAGAGCAGAGGCAGAAGCACTTCTAGCGGCATGTTCTTTCCTGAATGGACAACAGCACAGCAAATATAGCAGAGTGGTCTTTCTGACTGATGCTGTGTCAGTTCTACAAGCAATTGTTAACCCAAAAGACACTCAGTTTGTAGATTTGACGCAACAGCTGATTTACTTAGGCTTTTTAGTAGAACAATCTGTACTGCAGTGGATTCCAGGTCACAGTGGCTTGGAAGGCAATCAAATAGCGGACAGATTGGCCAGAATCGGCAGTGACATGATACAACCAAATAGCAACTTAACCCACCAAGAGATGAAAACATTAATACAATCTAGTATCCAAGAAAGGTCGCTGGATACCCACACCAGATTTTCTCCCCAAGACTCACTTCATCGCCTCTCTAGAGAGGGACAGTGCATTATATTCAGACTAAGGACTGGGCACAACAGATTTCGTCAACATATGTTCACATTGTGTGTAGGAAATACGGAGACGTGTCCCTGCAGCGTGGCACCCGAAAATGCTGAGCATGTGCTCCAATACTGTCAACTGAATGCTGACAACAGAAACCCAATCTGGCCTGTTCCAACCACACTGAAGACAAAACTGTATGGTACATGAGAGGATATGGATTGCACGATAGCTTTCATAAAGGCTACCGGCCTCCTGATATAATGACAGAAGGATCGAAGAAGAAGAAGAAGAAGAAGCATATGAGACAAATGGACAGTGATAAGTTACAAACAAGAATCTATAAGTAGAGGTCTCCACAAAAATACCCATAATATGTCTGGACAGTAGAAACACTGAGTCACCTTTGGGCATATTGCTCTATAATGGGTGGTCTTCACTGTATTGATGGATGATCAACAAAGCCAAGGAATATGTAAATACAATTTTAGTGGCCCCTATGGCTCTAAAGGCTGTGGGTTTGGTTTTCCTGTCCTTTGATTCATGAGTGTGTGTCAGAGATCCCTGCGGCTTGCTGCTGGAGCTACAGAGTTTATGCTTTGTACAGCACTCTTGATGGCCATTAGAAGCTGTACAGAATGAGTGAATAAACTAACTCTGTTTCCAAGTGGTCACAAATTGGGCATGCAGACCTATCTTTCATTCTGCCTCTCCAAACACCCACCTGTCTCATGGCAGTTGTACAGAGAAAGGCTGAGAAAGAGACATAGAGAGACTAAGCCATATTGTGTAAAACTTGGTGCAGTCATGTTGATCCACTTGCCTTTAAAAAATACCCTTTAAATATGAAAATATTAAGTTGCATAAATATACTCACTCACAACTGATGCATATAAAGTGATACACACATTTAGACACATGTTTGTACATTTTCTTTGTATTTGTTGATTCCTTCTCTAGTAGTGTTCCTTTTTCCTTTTCCCTTTTTTTTGCATGCTGAACAATTCTACTGCTCTCTACGTGCCTCTTCAGCATTAAATTGTGCGCATGTCAGTGACTTTGTGGGCATCTACACAAGTGTATGTGTGAGTACACATACGAAAAGAGAAAGAAGGATATATTCTTATGAAATCAACACAATTTTATATTTTAAAGCTGACTTTTATTTATACTTCTCATGATGTAATATACTACCAGTTTTAGGCAGTTTTGACCTCTGAGTCCGAACATATTTAAAACAAATGCCTGCTTTGAGTTGGATTTGAACACTTAATAGCTGGGTTAGTGGGCTGGTGAGCTAGCCATTGTATTTTACCTCTTCTGCCACTGACACTTTAGTAATCACAAAGTTCTCAAATGCCTCTCTTCTCATAACAAGACTAGAGAACTCTGTTTTAAATCCCCTTTTGTGAATAGTTCCATTACCCCTTAAATCATGTCATAAAAGGCATTAATGATTTGCTAAAATCAGATATGTTTAGCCACAATGTGCAGATATCGCAGTCTACCTGTAGACCACACCACACATTGCCAACCGCCCGTTTAACTCTTTCAATTTTAGGCAGCTGCTGCTTCATCTCATTCTGTCTTAAGAAGTCATTACTGTGCTTGATATATGTCTGGACATGGGGAGTTAATATTGAAACTGCATGAAGCAGTGAAGTAAAAGTAAACAACCCTTTTCCACGCCCTCAGACGTATTGGGGATATACGGCTAGATAGACCTGTGTTTTATAGATCAATTGGAACTCAATGGGTGATATTGTCAGCAACACCTCGGCCGCCTTTACTTCCCTGGACTTGTACCTGGTACCCACTCAAAGCTGGGTCGAAATGGGAGCCAAGGTCCTAAAAAAAAAAAAAACGGCTCTGTCAGGACTCGAACACACAACCTTCCGATCAGTAGGCAAGCATCTAGCCACTACAGCGTGGCAGCTGCCACATAAAACAGTATAGGTTACAATAATAAATGGGTAGAATGTGTTTATGTATTGACCGGATTAGGAGCAAGAAGTTAAGAAAAGAAGAACATGTAATTATATGTAAGTGATTGCCTAGTGAGTCCCTTGGTATCGAAAGAATTCAGTGGTAATCAGAAAAAGTTTGTTTCTTATGATTGTATATAATATTCTGCTTCCATTAATCTCCTCCAGGCAATTTTGTTTGTTTGTTAGTAATTCTGACATCCCATCTCTGAAAGTTATTTTTTTTTTTTTTTTTTTTCAAGAATCATCACTCTATATTTCCATTAATCCCCCCCCCCCCCCCCCCCCCTTTTCCGCCTAGCTTCCACTGTTTTCCAGTTTATCTCTTTTTATACTGTAATAATAAAAGATATTCTGTAGCATTTTCTAATGGAAAAGACAGAGAAATTAATGTTCTGTTTGTCCTACAAATCATAATTTTTTAGTAAGTATATAATATAGAGCCATATATGTGTACTGTGTCAAATATACTAAAGTAATTATTTATTTAACAGAATTATTTTAAAGCCTGTATATTGTATTATGATGTTATATAATTGACATCTTGCTTTTGAGATATTGCATGCAAACATCACTACTTTCTGTATGGTGCTCTCTGTCTGCTTCCGTGTTCTGTCTGCTCTGCACTGTGATACGTCTGCCACGTTGCTGATGCTGATGATGACATTAACCTTGCTGAAACCTTAACCTCTGAATGGCAGGGATATCTGACTATGCAGAAATTGTGGAAAAGGAAGATGATTATAGCGTTGTAGATGGTAAGACAATTTTTGCTCTTCTTGTGTGTTAAAAACCCTTTTCCACGCCTTTCAGGCATATTGGGTATATAGGGTTAGACCTGTATTTTATAGACCAATCAGAACTTGGTGGTTGATGTGGTCATCGTCATGCTGGCCACCTTTACTTTCCAGGACTGTACCTGGTACCCATTCGAGGCTGGGTCGACCTGGGAGCCAAGGTCATTTTTTAGAAGAAAAAAAAGAGTCCGGCCACTGTCAGGAACCGAACCTACCACCTTCTGATCCTCAGGCGAGCATCTAGCTGCTAGACCATGGCAGCTCTCTATTCTTGTGTGTAGGTGCAGATTGATATTCCACAACCAGTCTTGCATGCTGCTGATTTATTATATTGGAGAACAGAAGGAGAGCTCTGCAACACGGCCCCTCAGTATTTGATACCCTGTCAAAAAAGAGAAAAAAAAGGAGAGAGAGAGGAGGAGGAGGAAAGAGAGAACATGCTTACACATACAAACATACACACTGATAGCTGGAAGTGAAGTATTCACACTGGAGATTCTGCCATAAGGGTCACACCAGTGTCACATCATTTAATTTAGGAAATAGTTTTGCCATACCCTTCCCTCCACACAGTAAAGACATTTATGTTTCCTATTTGTGTAAGGATGAGGCAGACAGAGTTGTAGTTATTATGTTAAGTAAGAGACTTTTCCATCTCTTAAAATGTATTTGGTACATGGTACTGGTCTCACATTGATAGAACAATCAGCAATTCAGTGGATGAGGTATCCAGTATCACTCTGGTCACTTTCGCTACGTATAAAATTTCCTGTATCCATTTCAGGGCAGGGGAACAACACACACAGCAGACATATCGACGTTTCCCATCTGGACCTATATAACTATAATAATAACAAAGGGAAAAAGGGAAATATTTTTGTTGTTGCTATTGTTGTGTAGTTCATGTTGAGAATGTCCCTGTGTGGGTTCCAGGGCCCCATCTTGGGGGAAAACTAAAACAGACCCACTGCCTCCCCAGCAAGCATGTCATAGAGTTGACTGACTGGGAGCTTCCTTCAGAGTCAGTGTGCATCTGCCTGAGCAGCAAAAAACAACCAGCTGCATACAAATAAGCCAGTAAAATGAATGTACATGCAAAACTCTGGCCCTGGCACAAGACAAAGACCATGTGGACTAACAGCCATGATTTTCTGCCGCGAATAAAGTAGAAGAAGAAGATGGGATGTCTAGAAAGGCCCCAGTTGATTTGTCCCCCCCCCCCCCCCCCCCCTTTCGTCACCTTTTGATCCATGGGGAAACAAAAAGAAAGAAAGATTGCTGATTAATTGAATTAAAAATCAACATCCTAACACACTGACTTAATAAGAGATACTGTGTATCCCATTGCAGGTGTCATCGTACATGCTAGTACGTGGTTGTATGCACTACATAGTCTTTCTCTCATACCTCCATCTTATACCATTGCATTCATGTATCCATAAGTAAAACAGAGAGAGAGAGAGAGAGAGAGAGAGAGAGAGAGAGAGAGAGAGAGAGAGAGAGAGAGAGAGAGAGAGAGAGAGAGAGAGAGACAGAGAGAAAGGGAGAGAGAGGGAGATGAGAAAGAGAGAGAAGAAAGAGAGTGTTCGAAAGAGTGGCAGAGACATTAACAGCACCATCAGTCAGTATAGCAGAAATAATAAAATAATAGAATTCCTTACATTGCCATTGTCTAATGTATTTGTTAGCAAAGCAGACATTAAGTGTCATTCTATTCATGACATTGTGGTTATTCTTGAAATCTTGTGCAGGAAAGCACAGTGAACACAGTGTACGCAGAAAGAGTAAGTTACTTTTGAGGTCGTTAAATGTACAACTAACACAGTGCTAACATTCAGTTCATAGAGGGTATAAGATTTTTATTTAACAATAACCACTGTATGAGTGTTTAGTGCAGTGTGTCCCAAACTTGTCTTAGTTGTGGCGCCTTTTTTCAATTACAATTTTTCTACAGCACCCTAGCCTAAATAAAAGTATGACTAATTCGTATGTAAGAGATACAAAAATAAATAAAACTGGTGGATCTTCAAATATTTTGCGGCGCCCCTGTGAAGAGGTTGCAGCTCTCCTGGGCGCCACAGCGCACAGTTTGAGAATCAGTGGTATAATGTATAGTGTCATTATCTGTTGTAAGTTTCAAGCTTGTAGCAGCCATCATCATCATCCTCGTAGTCCCATTACACTGTCTGTCATTGGGTCACCAGTTGCTACTGACTGACTGACTGCTCTGATGCCTCTAACTCCGTGGATCATAGGCTATTGACTTTATGTGTGCATGTTTGAGGCTTGTGCTTCAGTCACATTCTCTATCCTGGTTTTTCTTGTTCTGCATGTTCTTGGATCCTTGGTGCTAGAAATGATCTAGTTTGTGCAGTGCTGTCAGCAAATATCCGACCACTGCCATGGTGTAATGGCTAAATGCTCGTGTACGGATTCAAAGGTCATAGGTTCAATTCCTGACAGAGTTGCACTTTTTTTTTTTTCAAAAATGACTTTGGTTCCTAGGTAGACCCAGCCTTAAATGGGTACCAAGTAAAGTCCTGGGAAGTAAAAGCAGCCAATTGGTTTATAAAATATAGATCTGGCTCTATATGAGATCTGGCTCTATATGAGATATGACCAATACACCTGAAGGCATGGGAGAAGGTCTGTAGAGAGAGATTGTGCTAAATGAGATTTTTGTTTTGGGAAGTGGATATAAAAACTTTTAATTACATTTACAAAGAGATTTGCATGTTTTTTTTTTTTTAAAGTTGGTAGAAATTTAATCCCTGGACTTAGTCATTTTTTTTTAGTTTATCAGTGAATGAAGAATATGCATCATTGCTGGTATGTCTGCTACAAAAGTCCTTGTAACTATTGCAGGACAGGTTTCCAGCTTGATGCACGTTCAATTTCCAATTATTATTATTATTTTTTAACTGTACCATCTCCACGGTAAAGTTTAGCTACAGTGTATCACTGTTGCCTTTTGATATATTATGTGGTAAGGCCCCAAACTCTTCCACATGCGACTGTCATACTGTTTTCTAAAAATTATGAGGACAGTATATATTAAAGAAAAGGTCCACCATAGGAATCGAGCCCTAATACTTGAGGATCCTATTCCCAAATGATTTCAGGTAAATAAAAGTGATGGAAAATGTATGGAGGTATCTGAAATGTGGTGTTATTTAACATTTAAAAAATGAACAAAAATGAGAAGTAGCTGAATTAAAAACAGAGGGGAAGTCAATAAGTTAGTCACAGATGGTTATGGGATGGCAGGAAAATGTAGTTGGTGGTTTCTAAAGGTGTCATTAAGTGACAGACACATCAAACTTTATTTCTCCGGTTGTTAAGTGGCGCTAGGTGTTGCATGCTCATTCCCAACACAGAAACAAAATGGCGACTGTACTTACAGGGCTGCCTGCTTAGGACATTCATAAGGAAATGCTTTGCTATTTATGCTGATCCCGTAAAGTGGTGTACTGGAAACCCACCTTAGCAAGAGATATTTAACGAGTGGCACAGAAATTGATTGTAAGGTGAAAGTATGGTTTAGAAAACAGAGCCCACAGTTCTATGCAGCAGGTTTGGGAGGAATGGTAAAACGATGGGACAAGTGCATCAGTGTTGGGGGAAATTATGTTAAAAAATAAAGGGACAGTGTATGTGTAAAAATAAATGGTTTTCAAGTTATCATCTTATTTTTTTATTTTTAAAATTTTTATAAACAACCATTTGTGACCTACTTATTGACTTCCCCTTGTATATTTGCATGAGCAAGTTACGGAAAAAAATTATAGCAGGAGGCATGGTACCAGAAAGGAGAGGCAGGGGCCGACCAACACAAAGATGGGCACAGTATATAAGTGGTTTCTTGAGTATGAAAATACATGAGGCAGGAGAGCTGGCGAGAGACTAAGTTTCTTTCAGGCAGACAGTGATGAGAGCGACGTTCTGCAAAGGACCTGCTACATGATGATGATGATGAGTTATGGAAATAACATGATTTTATGTGTGCATGTTTTTGTGAGTAACAAAGCAGAAACCATTGTAGGTAGTACTGGGGGCCCACAGAAATGATTCCGTGGGCGGCCAACAAATTCTGCTGTATCATGTAACGTGGTGTGGCAGATGGTTTTTCTCTCTTCCACTGTAGAATTAACACCTCGAGGACTTCCTGTTTGAGTAAAAATACTTTCTCAGGCACATCAAGAGTAAAAACCAAATTCAGATATTGACTAGATGTTATTGCAGCACTTCATATAGCAGAAACAGTGCTACAACCACAAATATCAAATGTGCTAACTTCTTGAAGTTTCAATTCTGTAACATTGGGTTTCACAAATAAACTGTCTGCATTTGTTTTTGTTTTGTGTTTGGTTAGCTGTCATGTGTGGCCATAGAACAGTTTACCCTGTTTTGTGTTTGGTTAGCTGTATTGTAAACCATAGAACATTTTACCCTGTTTTGTGTTTGGTTAGCTGTCATGTGGGCCATAGAACAGTTTACCCTGTTTTGTGTTTGGTTAGCTGTATTGTAAGCCATAGAACATTTTACCCTGTTTTGTGTTTGGTTAGCTGTCATGTGGGCCATAGAACACTTTACCCTGTTTTGTGTTTGGTTAGCTGTCACGTGGGCCATAGAACAGTTTACCCTGTTTTGTGTTTAGTTAGCTGTATTGTAAGCCATAGAACAGTTTACCCTGTTTTGTGTTGGGTTAGCTGTCATGTAGGCCATGAAACATTTTACCCTGTTTTGTGTTTGGTTAGCTGTATTGTAAACCATAGAACATTTTACCCTGTTTTGTGTTTGGTTAGCTGTCATGTGGGCCATAGAACATTTTACCCTGTTTTGTGTTTGGTTAGCTGTATTGTAAGCCATAGAACATTTTACCCTGTTTTGTGTTTGGTTAGCTGTCACGTGGGCCATAGAACAGTTTACCCTGTTTTGTGTTTAGTTAGCTGTATTGTAAGCCATATAACAGTTTACCCTGTTTTGTGTTTGGTTAGCCGTCATGTAGGCCATGAAACATTTTACCCTGTTTTGTGTTTGGTTAGCTGTATTGTAAGCCATAGAACATTTTACCCTGTTTTGTGTTTGGTTAGCTGTCATGTGGGCCATAGAACAGTTTAACCTGTTTTGTGTTTGGTTAGCTGTATTGTAAGCCATAGAACATTTTACCCTGTTTTGTGTTTGGTTAGCTGTCATGTGGGCCATTGAACATTTTACCCTGTTTTGTGTTTGGTTAGCTGTCATGTGGGCCATAGAACAGTTTACCCTGTTTTGTGTTTGGTTAGCTGTCATGTGGGCCATAGAAAAGTTTACCCTGTTTTGTGTTTGGTTAGCTGTATTGTAAGCCATAGAACATTTTACCCTGTTTTGTGTTTGGTTAGCTGTCATGTGGGCCATAGAACATTTTACCCTGTTTTGTGATTGGTTAGCTGTCATGTGGGCCATAGAACAGTTTACCCTGTTTTGTGTTTGGTTAGCTGTCATGTGGGCCATGAAGCATTTTACCCTGTTTTGTGTTTGGTTAGCTGTATTGTAAGCCATAGAACATTTTACCCTGTTTTGTGTTTGGTTAGCTGTCATGTGGGCCATAGAACAGTTTACCCTGTTTTGTGTTTGGTTAGCTGTATTGCAAGCCACAGAACATTTTACCCTGTTTTGTGTTTGGTTAGCTGTATTGTAAGCCATAGAACATTTTACCCTGTTTTGTGTTTGGTTAGCTGTCATGTGGGCCATGAAACAGTTTACCCTGTTTTATGTTTGGTTAGCTGTATTGTGGACCATGAAACAGTTTACCCTGTTTTATGTTTGGTTAGCTGTATTGTGGGCCATGAAACATTTTACCCTGTTTTGTGTTTGGTTAGCTGTATTGTGGGCCATGAAACAGTTTATCCTGTTGTGTGTTTGGTTAGCTGTATTGTGGGCCATGAAACAGTTTACCCTGTTTTGTGTTTGGTTAGCTGTTGTGTTGGCCATAGAACATTTTACCCTGTTTTGGTTGGCCACGTGTGTAAACAGGTTAAGGAACACTGCTCTGTTCTACCACCGCTCCCAAATTAATGTTGCCAGAAACAGTAATAGAATATCTGTAGAAAATTGTGACCACTGGTACAGGAAATAAAATATCAACAGTTTCTGACTGTCTTGTTGTTGCAGCACGTGACTTTGAGATTCCACGTGACCACATCCATCTGGTGGAGATCCTGGGTGAGGGCCAGTTTGGAGATGTTTATAAAGGATTTTACCTAGGCCAGGTATGCATTTTTTTTTTTTTTTCACAAGCATTTGGCTTGCCATCATCATCAGACACTTTACAGATGGTCTCCTTGGCAAAATGGTCTAACTGTTTATAGCTCGTACTAAAGTTGAGCTTATGGAGAGAACTGTACAAATTCCAGTCAATCAAGAGTTGAAAAAAAAAATGCTTTTACTGGACAGGAAGTACACAGAAAAAAACTTCTTAATTGCCTAATTAAAAACTGCTTTCTCTAGCACCACAGGATAGAAGAAATGTAGAGTCTAAAACTTGAAGTAAATTGGAGACAAATAACATGGAACTTGAGAACAATGAAATTAGGAAGAGAGGCAGCACAGAACCAAAACTGAACTTTATCGATAGACAGCAAATCAAATGGTTTGTCCATGTAACAAGATTAGCAACAAACATGGCACGGCTGAGAGCAGTGTTATACAGAAACAGCAGTAACAGAGCCAGAGGTTTACCACACAGAATAAAAACTGCAAAGTTTTTATATATATATATATATATATATATATATATATATATATATATATATATATATATATATATATATATATATATATATAAAGGAAACTGAAGAGCCCATTCCAGAGACCACTTCCTGCCCTGACACTGTGAAGCATTCTAGAAGTAGAGAAAAGAAGGAGAATAACATGCGGAAAACATGGATGCAACTGCATGAGACCGCCAAACACTGAGAAAGGTGGCGGTTTGGAGTAAAATAAGTTTACTGAGAATTAATGCTCTTTTAGGGGATAAAAGTAAGAAGTAGAAGGTGGAAGATGGATGTGAAAATGTGAGGTAATAGCACATTTCTCTGCTCAGAGAGAAAGACAGTCTTATCCTAATTAATGTGAAAGAAGTTGTAGTAAGTAACACAAGATAAACAATAAAATGTCCTGCTTTGTTTATATTCAGATTTGAAGTACCAACATCATTTTCTTTAGTTTTTCAGTGTCAGCTTCACTGCAGCAGATATAACCCACTACCATTCGTCGCTGTGATTGGCCTCATTCCACTTGGTAACTCCACTGTCTTCTTGGTCTGCCTTTTTGAGCTACTCCCATTCAGCTCTTGATTGGATTTTCTATTGAGTTAGTCTTTCCTCTTGGATCCTTTAGGTCTTTGATATTCATTAGGCCCATGGTTGAGCCTTTTCTGATGATGGCTCTATGCAGGGTCGCTCTTGGTCTGTCCCATTTTCTTTCTTCTTCTGGTGTTCATATCAGACCTTGATGGGGGAGTTTGGTCTTTATCCATTATGAATGCATGGCCATATTTGTTCCAGCGGCATTTTTTAAATAAAGTTGGATTCATTATCTTGCTTGGTCTCTTGTCTTACTTGCGTAATGAATCTGAAATCTGTTCAGTGGAGACTTAGTATTCTTCTACGACATCTCTTCTCAAAATTGTCAATTAAAAAAAAAAAAAATCTAGAGCTATCATTGCTTTCCAACTCTTGTACCCATAAGTCAGCACTGGAATTATACAAGAGTTAAAGATACAAAATTGTGTATGTTAGCTGACTGACTGACTGTGTTTTGACTTTCAGATGTATGACAGTTTGTTAAATTTGATTAAGTGCTCACATTTTTTAAAAATCTTGATAGGATGGGGTGCAAGTTCCTGTGGCTATCAAAACCTGCAAAGAAAATGGAGAAGAAGGTGTGGCAGAGAAGTTTCTAGAAGAAGCATGTAAGTCCTCTCAAAATAACTTAATTTTTATGGCTATTTTAAGTTAGCTTTTCAATACCAGTTTACGTTTACTGTAACTCATTATATGTCCTTAGAAGTTCTAGTTTAAAATAGCCAGTATTTGAGTCCAGAGAAGTTAAAGAAATACAAGTGGATTGTTTCAGTTTCACTGATGGAATTCAGTCTAGCACATTCAGCCTCTCTCATTGGCAGTTTTCTTAGAGTTTCCCTTTGATGTTCTTGCCTCCTCAGTGCTCTCTTCCATGTAAGTGCCCGTTGAGTTGGGTTGAGTGATTTAAGAACCGACATCACAGCACTCAGGGCATTTCCATAAGCACTCCATCCCCATCTTCAGCAGCCAGTGAAGAGTTCTAATACTAATGGCGCCAGTAGCATTCTGATTAAATATCCGTCTTGCCTTTCCTCTGAGCCTCAAACATCTGCCAGAACCTCTTGTCACTCCCAGCTGCATGAATCTCCTCAGACTGTGGTGATCCATCTGCTCCTCCGAACTGTACACGCTCTTCCACAAGGCACCAACCACGTCTGCCTAGTCATGTATCAGTATTCCACCAAGTTGTGCAGAGCCAGCCAGTCTGTCGGACTGTTCATTTCCCAACACACCGGCATTTCCCGGTGTAAAAAATCCAGACAATACTCCTCACCCGTGTCCCCCGCAGTGAAGCATGCCACTCTGCATGATGCATGCCTGTCCTGACCTTCCTCAGCATGCTTTCTGAGTCAGTTGAAATCATGTGTGTGTGTGTCGTGTTCTCTAACATGCGGGGGAGGGGGGGGGGGAAGCAGGCATTTGTTTTCGTTAGGTATCTTTAGAGATTCTCTAACTCTACCTGGCATATCTTAAAAGTGAAATAACCATGGATTTGAAAATACTTTACTTGGTTTTTAAAAAACTTATGTAATTTAGATTTTCATATTTTCTGTATTGTAGACAGTGAATATGGAAACTGAGCACTTATGGGAGTTTTCTGAGTGCTGTGATGACAATTCTTAATTCAACATTCACTAAAACAGTAAGCAAAAACTCATTTTATAATTGCATCACTCAGTTTAAAAATAATGTCTGGCAGATATCATGCAGCAGTTTGACCATCCTCACATAGTGAAGCTGACCGGCATCTGTTCGGACACAAGTCCAGTCTGGTTGGTCATGGAGCTGGCTAAACATGGGGAGGTTTGTTTCGTTTATCTGATTTCATTAAAATCTGTTTCATGAAATGAAATTGCATGAGAAGATTCAAGTTCAGCACTTCCCGTGTGGATTCTGCTACCTACCCCTTATTGTTGTTGGCACCTTCCTGTCTTTCCAGACGATAGTGTTTTATTGTACTACGAGGAGGTATGGGACTCACAGCCCATGGCCATGGCGAGTATGACTAGCAAGATCTGCCCACGTTAAGAAAAGTCTTCCACAAATAATGTATGGGGTTTCAGAACCATTGTTGCCATAATTTGTATTTAGTGTGTTTCTTCTCAGACACTCAGCTCTCATCATTTCTGCAATAATGTCTTTATTCATTCTCATTCCCTTTCTTCTTCTTTTTCTTCGCGATATCCTGCTGTAAACCTGCAGAAAGTTCTGGTTCATCAACCTCTGGACTTAAGAACTGTTCCAGAACCAAGTGTTGCATGCACATCTGTTTTACAGATCTGACTTATCTGTGTGCAGACTGTTGGTTCCTTGCGTCTCTGGCAGTTGCACTCTGACTTCGAAAGGAAAACCCCCAATTAGTCTACTCTTGTGTCATGCTTGTTGAGGAGACGGTGGGTCTGTTTTTGTTTTTCCCCACAATGGGGCCCGGAACCCCCACAGTCCTTTCTGATATGCTCCCTCATAGCAACATTGTCCATAGCATTTTTGTTTCCACGAATCCACCCCAATACCTTTATCATTCATGTTCCGCTTGCACACATCTTTATATCTTAGTAGAGATTGACCTCAGCATCTTCTATCCATCTGTAATGCACCATAGAAGCTGTCCTTAGGGTCTCTACCATCCTCCATTCTCTAGGTGTTACCCAGCCACCTGAGCCTTCATAGATTGGCTTAGAGATTCTGTGTAGATTCTGCCACCTATCTTTTATTATAAAAAGTTAAGGACCCTTTTCACACCTTCAGGTGTTTTGGGCATATAGGGCTAAACCTATATTTTATAGACCATTTGGCACTAGGTGGGTGTTATAGTCAGCATTACGCCGGCCACCTTTACTTCCCAGGACTGTACCTGGTACTCACTCAAGGCTGGGCCATCCTGACAGAAAAGGTCATTATTTTAAAAAGTCCGCCTCCGCCAGGACCCGAACCACTGACCTTCCACTCCGCAAACGAGCTTCTAGCCGCTTAATCATGGCGCCTCTCACCTCTGATTACACAAACTCAAAAACTACCTATACAGATCGATTTGCGTTACAGCATTAGCAGTAGGACAAAAGACAGGAAACTACACCTATCTCCTCTCTGCGACATCATAAAGAAAAAGAATTTTGGGGCAGTAAATCTGAACATTTACCCACCACCTTCAGGGTTGATGGTATTTTACTGAGATGACCTGCTTACATACAAGCTATTCATCAGCACTAACCAGGATTAACCTCCATTGTTTGTTAATGACTGTTTGATTAGATGCGAGCCTACCTACAGAATAACCAGCAGAGGATTGATGTGGTTATGCTAGTTCTGTATGCCTACCAGCTCAGCACAGCTCTGTCATACTTAGAGAGCAAGAAGTTTGTCCACAGGTGAGAAGCTGTGTTTGTTTGAAAAAAAAAAAAAAAAAAAAAAAAAAAAAATTAAAAAAAAAAAATTTACCCTCTCAGCTTCCTGTGTCTACTTTTAAGGCAGTATAGAAAAGGGTGTTGTGAGCCTAAGGAATTACGGCAGTGTAGAACAGGGTGTTGTGAGCCTGTGAATTTAAAGCAGTGTAGAACAGGGTGTTGTTAGCCTGTGGATTTAAGGCAGTGTAGAACAGGGTATTGTGAGCCTGTGGATTTAAGGCAGTGTAGAACAGGGTATTGTGAGCCTGTGGATTTAAAGCAGTGTAGAACAGGGTGTTGTGAGCCTGTGGATTTAAGGCAGTGTAGAACAGGGTATTGTGAGCCTGTGTGTTTCAGACCACATGATGTTGCAGTTACCACAAACGGCAGGCAGGTTGGGATGTGTATTTTTATCCCTGACAGACAAGTCTCTGTCACTTACTGAGGATTGAATGTCGGTCTTCTGCATGAAAGCCCAGCATTTGGTCATTTGGCCATCCAGTCCTGAAAAGATAAATCTTATATCTGAAAAAATTTGTGAAAATTAATATTATGAATTCCAAGGGACAGAACTGACAACCAGACAGTATGTCATTATCTTGAAACCCAGGCCTTACAAACTCAAGTGGATCAGGCCAATTATGATGGTTTGGTCATTTATTTAGAATAGGAGAGATCCACCAACATGTCAGGCATGCCAGGCTGGAAAACCAAGGAACCAGTCCATCAAGATGACCCAGAGTTTGCTTGGAAAACAACATCCGACAGTCCCTAACTGATAGAGGACTGGAATGAAACAAAGTCAGAAAGAAAACTGCTGATAGAGAAGTCTTGTGATCTCTCCAGCAAACTTCTACACCCCAAGGGGGAAGAGGAGCGACTAAGTAAGTAATTCAAGAAATATGTTGGAGAAACTAGAAAAATTTCTGGACAAACACCTGTATCAACAGTTATAGGTAAGAGAAGATGGGGAAATTTTGGCACTGCATGAGGAGGAGTAGAGAGTCACCAGACAGGAACTGGAAGAGGAAACAATTGAACTGTGGAAATAAGTACATCCAGATGAAACCACAAGATAAACAGTGCCTCCCGAACAAGCATGTCCTAAGAGCTGACTAATTATGTGTTTCCTTTTACCAGCTGAATTTGTGTGTCTGATTCTCAGTCGGCACTGCGGAAGGTTCAAAATGGACTAATGTGGCATGAGTGGATACCATGCATAGGTATGCCAACATTGCAGGGAATCAGTGGATATACTGTCCGTGACAGGCAGGAGAGTGAGGGAATGAAAGAGCAAATTTTCTGGCTACAAAAGTGAACACTCGTACTGGACAGGGGGAGATATTCTGAAGACTAAATATGAACAAATGCTGACAGAAGACATGAGATTAGATGAAATAACATGTGCAAGAATGTGTGAACAAGGAATTAAGGATGGATGCGGCAAGGAGGGACTGAAGAGAGGAAGAGAATGACACGTGTATAATCAGTGTGCTTCAGCCGAAACATAATGTGTGTTGTTTTGTGCACGTTTTTCTGCTTCCCCATTGTGTTAAGCTTTTTAGTCAAATTTCCCTGGAATTCCTTGTATTAGCTTGACTGCATTCACCCCCCATATTTTCACCATTTTCGGGAACAGTTAGTATCTACACCTTAAGACATTTGCTGTGTGAGACCTAGCATCTGTGGGTATGCCCTGTTTGCTATGGTGTTGATTCCTAAATCAGTAATCAGTGTCTCCTTTGGAGTCTTGAGTGCATCTGCCTGTAAGGCTAGGAACCAACAGTTTGCATACAACTAAGCCAGATCTGTAAAACAAATGTGCATGCAAAACTCAAGTTCTAGAGCAAGATCAGAAATGACAAACAGCCAGAGCTTTCTGCAAGAGTTTACAGCCGGTGAACGTGAAGAAGAAGAAGAAGAAGAAGATTTCCTCTATGAGATTGAAAAGATTGCGCAGGATAGGATGAAACAGAGGAGTGAACTGTAAGCAAGATGTGACTCATACATCACAACATGACGGTGAGGCTGCTGCTAACAAAGTCTTGGACATGAAATAAGTGAATAGAAATCATAAAAATAATAGGATTGGCCCACACACACACACACACACACACACACACATTCTTTGTTTAGTGTAAATGAAATTTTGTAAATATATGCTCTGGGTGAGTAAAGTTGAACCCCACTAGGTTTGCACACTGAGCCATTAACACCAGGCGATGCAAAGTTTCACTATTCGGATGAAAATACCTGAGTTACAGATCCCAGAAATTTTGTTTGACTATAAGGTTACAAAGTAACTTGAAGTCAAGACAGTGTAGAGCATCTCAGTAACATGGTTGTTTAAAAAACAAAACAATTCCATGATAAATATAAAGTGCCCTGTTTTCACAGAGATATTGCAGCCAGAAATGTCCTGGTGTCTGCTCATGACTGTGTGAAGCTTGGAGACTTTGGTCTGTCCAGATGGGTGGAGGAAGAATGCTACTATAAAGGTGGGTTGCTTGGTTGTGAATCTGGTGGAAGATTCAGTTTTAACTGTTAAGAGTTAATATAATGAATTCTTGTGTTCACCTTGAAATCTTTTGGCATCAGAAGGTTTTACAGGAGATGCTAAAGTGCAGATATAGCCATGATGATAAATCGTGAATGCATTACGTTCAGAGTGGCAGTATATACAGTGGTAGTGACCATTTGGGAAAACCAGATTTCTTTGGTGTGTTCTGATCAAAAATAAAACAAATAAGAGAACACATGCTATAGAGGGAAATCTAGGGGGTAGATTCATTGCTTGGCACTGAAAGGATTAAGAAGGCAGCTGGCATTTTGTGTTATATTGTGGTTTAAAGCCAGGCTGCAATATCTGTGCCTTTCGGCCCAACACACCCGATTTCAGCAAACCCCTAATTAATAGCCTTTTATGACATGCTTGTTAGAGAAGTAATAAGACTGTTTTTTCCCCCTCAAAAGTATGAGTGGTTGTATAGAATGTCTGTCTGTCCTTTCTGGCCATGGATGCATGTGTGTGTGTGTTTATGTGTGTGGTGTGCGTGCGCATGTGAGAGGGAGGGAGGGAGAGAGAGAGAGAGAGAGAGAGAGAGAGAGAGAGGGTATGTCTCCATGTGCACATACATTTACCATCCATGCTTTCACAGATTTTTCCCCTTGATTTTAATCTTAAGCATTTTGTTATTTGAACATAACATGCGTTATTGATAAACTACAAGTCTTGTGTGAAAGACCAGTGTTTGGAAGGGCTGAATGTAAGACGGGCAAGAGTGCCCAATTTATGACCCTTTGAAAATAAAGTTTGTTCGTTCTTTCATTGGTCACTGGAACTCACACGGAGACGGTGGCACTCAGTTTACTTAAGCCCTTAAAAAGACTGACACATATCAAATTTGGGTTGATGTAGAGACTTGTCTAGCAACCTTCTATTGTAGTACTATATTCACAGCAGGTTATTTACAGGTCTTTCTCTATTTATTCCACTCAGAGCTGCTTATTGAAGGTTCGGCCGCCTTGAGAATTAAAAAAAATCTAAATCTGGATGGCAAGCTAACTGGGAAAATCCCCCATTCAGCCTCCAGATAAATTTTAACTGGGACACTCTTACTGGCTGCACCAGCTTGGCATAGCCTGCAATTCTTCTTCTTCTTCTTTTCCTCCTCCTCTTCCTCATCCCCCTCCTTTGATTGAGTCATTGATTGTGCTTTATACAACAGCTTCCAAGGGGAAGCTGCCCATCAAGTGGATGGCCCCCGAGTCCATCAACTTTCGCAAGTTCACTACAGCAAGTGATGTCTGGATGTTTGGTGAGTTGTTTGCTGGGCGGTTGTTGTTGTTGTTGGTGTTACTTTGGCATTAATTTGTGGACGCACGCAGTAAGTAGCACAGTAGTCATTACATTATTTATTTTTAACAAATGAACATTTGGTGAGGTGTTGGCATTATTTATAATAGCATTACTTTATCTCTAATATCACTGTTCATTCAGTCTGACAAGTTCTTTCTTTCTTTCATTCTGTCTGTCTGTCTGTCTGTCTGTCTTCTTTCTTTCTTTCTTTCTTTCTTTCTTTCTTTCTTTCTTTCTTTCTTTCTTTCTTTCTTTCTTTCTTTCTTTCTTTCTTTCTTTCTTTCTTTCTGTCTGTCTGTCTGTCTGTCTGTCTGTCTGTCTGTCTGTCTGTCTGTCTGTCTGTCTGTCTGTCTGTCTGTCTGTCTGTCTGTCTGTCTGTCTGTCTGTCTGTCTGTCTGTCTGTCTGTCTGAATGTCTGTCTGTCTGTCTGTCTGTCTTTCTGTCTTTTTCTTTTTTTTTTCTTTTTGTTTGTTTGTTTCTTTTTTTTTTTCTTTCTTGTCTCTAGTCGCTTTGGGGCCACGTTAGCGCAGTCGATAAGAGGCTCACTTTCAAATCCAGCTGAGACTAGCTGCAGCCACTGTCGGTGTTTGAAACTGGGAGGTTCCCGGTGTTCACCCAGCCTCTGGGAAATGGGTACCAGAATTGACACTCTGGGGTAAATGGAAGAACGTCACTGTAGCTACAGAGTTACGTGCGAACAGTGACACTGGCGGACAATTCTTATCAGCTGTCCGTACTGATGGCAGAGCACTTAAGGTTTATAACCGTGTGCAGTGACACTGGTTCACATCTCCTGACTTTGCCTTTACTTTACCTTTTACCTATATTTCCTATTCTCCATATCAGCGTCATATTTTTGAAGAGGCATTTAGTGTGAGCCTTGATCTGTGCTGTATAGGGTATGCTGGTATTCAGGGCCATAGATATTGTCTATACATCTCTTGTATGGGTGACCTCTAGCTCTGCTACAGTTGTCTAAGATTGACAGGCCTCTCTGTAGTGCACTTTTCTATGGTAATCCTTGACACATGTCCAAACCATTTGCCATTGTCTCTCTTTGTGTAGCTCAACACTGGTTTAGCCCTGACTTGTCCTCAGTCAGGTGCTGTCCTTACAACAGAGGTTAATAGCAGTAGTCTCTCCTACTTCAGAAGTGCACAGACAGGCTGCTGTTGATGTGGTTCATCCGTCTCTTGGTGTTATCTTTGCACTTCATCCTTACCCGCGCAGGACTGTGGGTGCATTTACCTGGTGTAACTGTTACAGGTTCCCTAATTATAACTTCTCTAGCCCCCCGATGGAAACATCACTCCAGCTGCCTTTCTTCTTCTTCAGGTTCACCGGCTGTAAACGCTGGCTGAAAGATCTGGATGTTCATTCATCTCTTTAGTTTAGTTTTTTGTCCAGAACTTGGGTGTTGCAGGCACATCTGTTTTACAGATCTGGCTTAATTGAATGCAGATTGAATCTCAGATTGCTTCAAAGGAAGCTCCGAATTAGTCGACTGTTATAACATGTTTTTTGGGGAGGCAGTGGGTCTGTTCCTGTTTTCCCCACAATGGGTACCTAGAACCCACTCAGGGACAACTACCTTTACTTCCCAGGATTTTTTCTAGCCTCCATTTTAGGCTGGGTTGACCTGGGAACCAAGATTGTTTTTGAAACAAAATAATAATCAAATCTATATAGATTTGAACCCAGGACCTTCAGGTCAGCAGGGAAGTGTCTAGCCACTACATCCCGTACCATGTAGCATAGTTGAAAGGTAATATCAAATGTAGCCATAACATTCTGTCATAAAGTCAAGCAAAGTAAGTTAAGGGAAGGACTCTTTTCCACGCCTTTCAGGCGTATTGGGTATATAGGGCTAGACCTATATTTTATAGACTAAACGGCACATGGTGGGTGTTGTGGTCGACCTGGGAGCCAAAGTCATTTTTGAAAAAAAAAAAAATCCAACTTTTGTCAGGAACCGAACCCTCGCCCTTCTGATTTGCAGGTGAGTGTCTAGCCATTAGACCACGGCATCTCGAAACATTCTTTCACATGCACTGGACATTTTTGTCTTCAATTAATAGGTGTGTGTGTTTGGGAAATCCTTATGTATGGAGTCAAGCCATTCCAGAATGTCAGAAACAACGATGTCATTGGAAAAATAGAGGCTGGCGAGAGACTGTCCCTTCCTGCTGGTTGCCCTCCTACAGTGTATGAGCTGATGTCCGCCTGCTGGCATTATGAACCTTCCAGGCGACCCACTTTTGCTAACTTGAAAACCTGGCTATAGTAAGTGGTCTTTTTTTTCCCTCATAGTATTCACTGGCTGTAAAATCCAGTGGAAAGTTCCGGTTGTTCATCCACTCCTGAACTTTTGTCTCAATCTGGAACTTGAGTTTTGTATGCAGAGCCATTTTACAGATCTGGCAGTAAAACTAACTTTGGTCTCCCCAAACAAAGTAGGTCACGTTTCATTCATAAGTTTGTTGGGCTGGTATACTTTCCGGCAGGTTACGGGTGTGCCACTCTGTTGTTTGCTTTCTGAGTTGTCTTGCATTTACGTTTTTGTTCCAAGAAAGAGAATGCCTGTGACAAAGGTTGCAGCACTGTCTGAGGAGGGGTGGGGGGTGGGGTTAGACCCAATTTGTCCATGATTTTGGAGTGTTGAAAGCACTGGTGTGCTGAAATATACAACATGCAATATCAATGGCATTGCGTGAAAAAAAGCCGTAACATTGTGCCGAGGTTACATGGCCTAAGGTCTACCAATCAGAAGTGAGCTAGTGTGTATATGGGCAGTCTGTGGGGGGGGGGGGGGGGGAAACCAGCTTTAGTTTTACCGATCTAGCTTATTTGTACACTGATTGTTGGTCCCTTGCCTCTCAAGCATATGCACTCCTACTTTGCAGGAAACACTGCTAATTATTCACCTTCTATGCATGCTTGTTGTTCTCCAAACAGGAGCCCTAGAAGCTAGGGAGTCATAGTAAGTAATGAATGGCATGCACCTTCACTGGAAATGTTTCTCTTGTTTTGGAGAGAAAAAAATACTCACTGCCCCCATCCCCCTCCCCAACATACATGCTGTAAAAGAGGGATATGCTGAATGTATATACGTTAGGCTGAAAGGCACAGATGTGGCAGCCAAGCTGTAAACTACAACATGATGTGCCAATAATTTAAGGGGAAATTAAAAAGAAGAAAATATGATCCTCTAATCTCTACTAATTCTCTCTGCTTCTGTGAATGAAATCAGTACTTGTGAATTTATCTCATGGTGTGGAACTGTGTAATATTTTAAGAACAAAATTTCTTACTTGGAAAAATATGAAAAAATCCATCACCCGAGCTACCGAGAGGCACTTGGCTACAACTTGATATCACTGGGTGGACAAAAGAAGAAGAAGAAGAAGTTGAAATGTTGTTCAGATATTCACTTCAGATTTCAGGGTATTGTTTAGACATGGCCTTGATAGTTTAATATAATGTTCATATAAGGTTAGTTGCGTATCCTTTACAGGACGTTGCAGAACTAACCCCAACAGCCCCTGGCTGTTGTGTGGTTTTTCTAGGCAAATTTACGTCCAGTAGTTTGCCATTGCTTCTGGATGGTCGGCTTCTTTGATACCACTGTCGAAACTGATGCAAGGCGCATGGCCCACAGCTGGGATCGAATCTGGCATCCCGGCATTACGAAGCGTTCGCATTGATTTAACCACGGAGTCGACTGTTGTTTATATATTGCCTTGAAATTGTAGTGTAATGTTTAGGTGTTTACTTGATATTTATTTTAATATTGTTTGATGCATTTTTACATATTGCTTCTACTCTTCAGTGATATATTAGACGAAGAGCGTCGCAGGCAGGAAGTGATTCACAGAGACCATTGGAGAGTGCAGGCTGTGAGTTTGAGTAAGTTTTTCTAGTTATGCTGTCCATGCTAAAGGTAGTCTGTGTTAGATTTTGCCATTACAGTTTGAAGCCAGAGTACTTCACTTATATTAGAACACATTATTGCTGGGACTCACCCTCTTATGTCTTTTACATAAGCGTTGAAAAAACAAAAATGCCACAAGAAAAGTGCAAGTACTGCACACCATTGTTAACTGCCAGGAAAAAAAAAAAAACTTGTTGGTGGCACCATTTTCTTTATCAGATGACAGAAACTATTTTGCAATACTGTATGAATGAACTAAACTGTCTTGTTTTTTTCCTACCATATCTTCTTCTTTTTCTTAGCGTTCACCAGCTGTAGACTCTGGTGGCGAGTTCTGGTTGTTCACCCACTCCTAGACTTTGGTCTTAATCCAAATCTTGAGTTTTGCATGCACAACACTTCTGCAGATTCAGCTTATTTGTATGCAGACTGTTGGTTCCTTGTCTTTCAGAAATAAGGTGGGCTTATATTAATTTTTTTTTCAAGTCATCAAAATAGCAGCAGAGAAACTGTTAAATGTATCTCATATTTCACAACCCATGGTTTATCTGACAGAGGCAAGAGCGGTGCTTCAATCACTCCAATCTGGAAAACTACCTGGTGTACGAACACTACTCTCCAAACTGGGCAGCTGGTGTAAGGTAACTATGCAATGGATACCATCCCACTGTGGAGTTCATGGAAATGAAAGATCTGATAAACTAGCTAAAGAAGGTGCAAATGAAAAACAACCTGGCTTACCAGTCTCTTATCAACAAAAGAAGTGAATAATCAAATCAATTGAAAATCATCAAATCAGCCACGTGCACATGTGGACTAGCACCTGAGACAACAGATCATGTCCTCCAAGACTGTCCCAAACACAACATTTGAAGGCAAAACTTTTGGCCAAGAGAAACATCTGTATAAGTCAAAGACAGCGTAGTTCATACTAGAGACAACATTGCAGACATAGATAATCTATTTCAAGAGAACGAAAGAAGAAGTATTTAAAAAAAAAAATGTTATCAAGTTTGTCTAATTTATCTCAAATCAAAACATGGTCTTAAAAAAGTAATGGACTATTTTCACACATTTGATGCATTAGACGTGTAGTGCTAGACCTATATTTGTGTAGACCAGTCGTCACCCGATGGGGTCAGTTTCACTCTGAATGCCGTTACTTCCCAAGGTAGCAAATACCATTTGTCAACATTTATGTATTCTACTGTCCTTCTCAAACATTCTCATGAAGCAGGTCCTTTTCAAAACGTCACTCTCATCACGATCTGCCTGAAAAAATGTTGCAAGCTCTTCAACCTCCTACACTTTCCTACAAATGATGTCACTTATATCCTGTGTCCATCTTCATGCTGGTTGGCCCCTGTCACTCTTACTTGGTATCATGTTTTCTACTATTACTTTATTTCCAATCGGTGTGGTGGTGCTTGATTTGGCCAAAATACTTTAGCTTTAAAGACAAGATGCTGTTTACCAGCCAATCTTCCTTTTCCTTCTCTTACAATGATTTGTAAATACGTATATTCTTCTGCAGATGGTAATGGTTCAGATGAAGAGCTACACCCTCCACCCAAACCAGCACGCCCGCAGTATGCCATGTTATCCCCAACTGCGTCCACCCCTAACTTATCGGTTAGTGCCCCCATCTCACCCAACTCATCAGTGGCCTCCCTGCCACATCATTGGAACAGTACCACCATTCTTCCCCTTGGCCATAGTACTCCTGTATGTGGCCCTTCTCCTGAGGGCAAAGGTCAGGGTTTACGTCCTCCTGAGGGCAAAGGTCAGGGGTCACATCTACAAGATCATAACCACCAGCAGAATCTCCCGCTACCTCCTCAACCACCAGCACAATCAGGGACCCATGTTGAGTACCAGCTTCACAATTATTTTCCTTCATCTGGTTATATGCAGGTACTGTCTATTGTTTTCCTGTGTTAATTAACACTATCATAGTCATTTCGGAATATTCTCTGCATTATATTTGATCATGCTACTTATTTGTAGTCAACTGTGTTTCTTTATTACATATTCATTCTTATATTCCATTTCATTGTTATATATCATGAATTCTAAACATTTTTCTTTATTTTGCATCAAGGAGTAAGACAGGGATGTGTCTTATCCTCAGGCCTTTTCTCTCTATATAGTGAAATAATTTTGAGAGAAATTAAAGAGAATGCAGGAGTAAGAGTTGGAGGATACAGAATAAACAACTTGCATTATGCAGACGATACAGTTTTGATAGCTGAAAATGCAACTTTTTTACAACTGTTGGATATTTTGGGATGAAGAGTGCTAAGAAAGGACTTTCATTGGATATTAAGAAAAGGGAAGTAATGGTTATATCTAAGAAGAAGATAACTCCACGTTGTGATATCTTAATTGAAGGAAAAAGACTTCACCAGGTCAATAAGTTCAAATATATAGTAACAATCATATCATCAGATGGAAAATGTGTGATAGAGATTAAAAGCAGAATAGGTCAAGCAAAAGCTGCATTTCAGAAAATGAAAAATATCTTATGCAATAAATCGCTCATTTAAAGTCAGAAAGAGAGTGCTAAAATGTTACATAGAACCTGTTCTGCTGTATGGCAGCAAATCTTGGAATGTCAGTAAACAAATTAAGAAGAATTTGGAAGCAACAGAGATGTGGTTTCTGAGACGAATGTTACGAATACCTTGGATGGCCAGAGTAACTAACAACGATTGCTTGAAAGAAGCTAATGAAAGTAGATTTCTATATACAACAATAAGAAAAGAGACAAACACTGTTCTTTGGCGACATAATGAGAAGAGAGTCATCTGAGAACATCGTGACAACTGGAAAGATCAGTGGAAAAAGGGGTAGAGGCAGACCAAGAGAGATGATGCTTTAATGGGCTGAAACGATGGCATGGAGGGATATCATCAAGAGAGCTGGTCCAGGCAGCCAGGGGTCGTAATCTGTGGAGGCGCATCAGCACCTGCGCCAGTTGGCAGGGCACATGATGATGATGACTTTTAAATATGTTCATGTGTGTAATCAGATCCTAGGGGGGGGGGGGGGAGGCTAGTGACCTTTATTTTAGGAATCCCTTCACCCCCCTCCCCCCCCCCCCCACCCCCTCCAATTATTAATCTAATTGTGTGTCCGCAAAGCGCCTGGACAACATCTTGCTTGTTATGCATAATTTTACCACTGAGTGGCGCAGAACCAGCCCGCCTTTGGAGAAAATATCCAAAGTATTTTGTAGGATGACAATCCTGAAGCCACTGAGTCTTGAAGGATCTTTGCCTGGTTTTGGATTTGGGATTGAAAAGTTGTGAACCTAGTCATAGGATGTTGATACTGTTCTGATGCTCTGGTTGAACTGAAAAGCCATCTCTTCAAGTCTTCATCGCTCATGTTCTTCATGTAAGCGTACCTGACCCCCATCTGCTTTCGGTGTGGTGTGTTTTTTGTGTGTTGCAATTTACATTTTATATCCTCTACCTGAATCATATCCTGATAGTAAATTAGTTTACTGTGTTTGGGAGATGTTTAAATAAATTCCTTAAAAAATAAACCATTTTACACAGGGCACACACACAAATTGAAACATTTTTTGTTAATTGACCAAACCAGTGTTACTTTTAATACAAAATAAGAGGAGTAATCTATAAACATGTATGCAGCAGAGAATTAGGTGAATAATCTTTCTTTGACCATAGAGATGAATTTATGAGGTGACTCACGCTTGACCCCGAACCCAGTCGCCAGGTAACCACTAGTGGTAAATGGTGGATATTATGATATTATAATTTATATTAAGAAAGCCATTTCTTCACAAGATACCCCCACCCCCACCCTATGCTGTTTTTAGCACATATAATCATTGCTTGTGCTCCTGTTCAGGCAAACATGATACCACTGCTTTTAGCTATGCTTCTCATGAATTGGCCACTATAGCAAGTCGGTAAATTGACATTTGTGGGGGATTTGGAAGTGTTGGTTTTTGTGGCTTCTTAGGGTGACAAGGTGAAGAGCTATGTAGCGCCAATCCTAGTGTACAGGTGTGAATCATTGGCAGCTGAATAATAACAAATTGTATGGAAGCAGACCTGGTTTTTTTAAATTGACAAATAAAAAGAACATTTTGCGCAGATTAGAAAGAGTGAAGAAGATGACTGGAGAGAGATTAACTAATATTCTTTAGTCACACGTTGGAAAAGGAAACACATCATGACAGTGGGGAGAGTTGGAGCGGAAAGAGAGGCAGAGGGAGACCAAGAGAAGATGCTTGACAGTTTGGTATCTTGGCAAGGAAGATCATCTGTATCAGAAATTAACAGAAGGATTGCAAGTTGCTGAAGAAACACAATTTTGGTTCTTTATTAATATCCTACCACAGATGACGTCACAGGACAGTCCAATATTTTAGAGGGTGGTAAGACTAGGTTTTCCGGCTTTCTGATGCTTTTAACGACCCCAAACATCTAGAACTGGTCCTAACCCCAACCCACCTACGTCCCACGAGAGAGTGCAGCCTAGGTCCTACGACTGCATGCAGCCTATCTACCACCTCCTGAAATATTAGACTGTCCCGTGACCTGTGGATTTTCCCTGTTTGGGGTAGAATATTAATAAAGCACCAAAAATTGTCTAGTAAAAGAGTACAACCAGTAAATGCTGGGACTGGTTTTCAAAGTCCTTGAAAGAATGTACAGGGTCTCCTTGACTTATGAATTATGTTCCGACTGTCAGGTCGTAAGTCAGACTGGTCTTAAGTCGAATTTAATTTTTCAACACTAGGTAGTAGGAGACCTAAAGTTCCAGAAGCTGCTATAATTTGGTAGGGTCAGACAAACTCTGATGTCTAGATGCCGCTTTGCTCTAGGCATTCTATCCTGGAACTTTTTGTCCCTACTTATGTAGTAACTTTTCTTTTTTAACTCCTTGTATTTTGTTTACATTATTTTATTTTTTTTAATCGTAAGTTTGGATGGTTATAAAAAGGTAAAAAGTTAAGTCGGGAGATGTGAACCAGCGTCATTGCTCATGGTTATAAACCATAAGTGCTCTGCCACCAGTACGGACAGCTGATAAGAAACTGTCCCCCTGTGTCAATGTCTGCACAAAACTCAGTAGCTACAGCGGTGTTCCTCCATTTACCCAAGAGTGTTAACTCTGGTACCCATTTCCTAGAGGCTGGCTGAACCCTGGGAACCGTCCAGTTTCGAACACCGGCTGTGGATGGTTTTAAGTTGCGTAGGTTGTTAGGTAAGGTGAAGATGTACAACAAACTTTGTATTGTCATCCACTGATAGGTTAGCAACCATTCCAGCCAGCAGCCAGTTGAACTACAACCTCACCTCTCGCTGGCCCCAGGAAAGAATTTACCACATCACATCCCTCCACCACAATCAGCATTCCAACAACAGCAGCAGCAGCAGCATCAACCTTTTGGGCACACAGCCTCCGGTCGGCCAAACTATTTGTCTGTCTTGACATCAGCTCAACCATCAGGAGATTCATATCAGCATACACCACAAAATAACCAAGTGATTACACCAACCTCACCTCTGCCCACACCTCAGGTATGTCATTTTATTTTCCCTAAAAAAAAAAAAAAGTAAATCTCTGCCTTTGCCAGTCCCAAGTTTGGAGGAGAAAGGAGGAGGGCTAGGCAGGTGGACCAGCTCTCCCAGCCTGTAAAAAATAATTTTCTATAAAAACATGCCTTGGCGTTGGCGGCTAGACATCCCGCCTGCAGATCGTAAGGTCGTGGGTTCGCGTCCTGACGGAGCTGGACTTTTTTCAAAAATGACCTTGACTTCCAGGTAGACCCAGCCTTGAGTGGGTACCGGGTGCAGTCCTGGAAAGTAAGGTGGCCGACCTGATGCTGACCACATCACCCACCAAGTGCCGATTGGTCTATAAAATATAGTTGGTGATGGGGTCGACATTATGCTAGCTACCTTAACTTCCAAGGACTCAGCCTGGTACCTATTTAAGGCTGGGTCAGTCTGGGAGTCAGTGTCAGTTTTGAAAAGAACTGGATGGGGGGTGGGGGGGGGGGGTGATTGGGACCCAGATCCTGCTGATTTGTGGGGGATCATCTTGCAATTTTCTTGACTTCCGTATGTGGCTATCAGTATCATTTTCGCAACAACATCATATATATTCAAGTATTTTAGCACTTGTGAAGTTTTCTAATCATTCAAACTCAAAATAGAGTGTCTTCAGCTGCTTTGTTCATTTTAATATTATTATTATTCAAGTATTTTAGCATTTGTGAAGTATTCAATTTTTCCAACCCACAGTTGGCTGCGTTGCTCATTCCATGTCTGACTTATTTTACTACTACTGCTGCTAAGCGAGTTACTGCCGTCCTCATGTGGGATGCAGTTGTTCTTTTTTTTTTTTTTTTGAAGCCCAACCCTGGCTGTTGCCGGGAGGCCCTAAGTATAGCCGGGCCTTCAGTGTGGTAACCGGGTGTTTTATCCCTTGTGTGATGTCCCGGTGGGGTAAAATTTACTTACTAACTACTGCTGCTGCTATTAATGTTTTTGGTGTTCTTATTTTTATTATTGTGATGTCTCATTCAGAAACCGCCAGCTTGTAGCCTTTAACTCTTCAGTCAGCAGTTTCTCTTCAACTCTGTTTCCCCAGATTCTGTCCCAACACTACAGACATGTAGCGGATGTGGACGAATCTGTCATTGAGCAGCGACTAAGGCAGCAGCGGAAGGAATCAGAGGAGGATGCTAAATGGCTGGAGGATGAAGAGAAGAACTTAGTAAGTAAAGTAAAGCAAAGGACCCCTTTTCCCAGGCTTTTATGTGTATTGGGCACATAGAGCTAGACCTGTATTTTATAGATCAGTGGGCACTTGATGGATGGTGTGGTCAGCATTATTCTGGCCACCTTTACTTCCTAGGATTTACCAGGTACCCAAATAGGCTTGGTCAACTTGCGACCCAAGGTCATTTTTTTCACAAAAGGTCCGATACTGTCCGGATTTCAAACCACAACCTTTGGCTCTCCAGGAGGGTATCTAGCCACTACATCATGTCAGCTCCCCATTAGATACAGGCAAGTAGGTAATCGAGTGTCTGATATAACCATAAGTGGAGTAGGAGACTCGCATATGCTAAATGACGCGGTTTTAGTTTTCCATCTTTGCTGTCTCTCTTTCCTAGAAAAAGAAGAAAAATATATGGTATCAATTATGTGAGGCTATGTCAACATTAGAAATTCCCCATGAACATGTCCCACCATAGTTCCTTGTAAATCAGTCCAGCAGCTGGCAGTTTGCCAGTAGGAGGCCCTTAACAGCTGCAATTGACTCTGGGGTCACTCTGGGGTCACTACTCAGTGTGCCTGACCTGGTCATGAATAGTCTTGTCACAGAAGTCACTGTGTTTTGAAACTTCCTACTCCACTCATACACTTACTGGACTGACAGGCATCCCCAAACTGGACTTTCATGCCCCAAGGAATTTCTCTAGGTTTCACGTTCTCACTTATTAAATAAAAAATACAAATTAAAAAAAAAAAAAAAAAAACTGCTCCTGTTTGTTGCATGTCAAAAGTGGGGTAGCTATCTTTAAATTGACATTTTGACATCACTGTGCACGACTGCACTATGATGTACATACTTAACACTCTTGACATTCTTACCAAAAATATTGACAGGTTACAAGACAATATCAATTATCGAGGAAGCATATTCACTGAGGATGGCAGACTAGATAGATAGATGAAAGCCAGAGTACAGAAGGCAAATGCAGTCACCCACCAGTTAGCAAATCCATCACTCAAGCCCCCCGAGAAGCCCAAGACAAATACAGAAAACCACGATACTGGGCTACAACCTGGTATCAGTGAGACGACAAAAGAAGAAGAGATTTGAGGTTCGAACAACGGACCAACATCATGGCACACGAGTAGTAACCCATAAGTGCTCCGTTCTTCTTCTAACTCAAGTCTGAGTCAGACCTCACTACCCAGAGACCAGGGGGAAATTACTAGAAGTCCAAGTCCACATGAAAAAATCCCAGCCCTTACCCGGGATTGAACCCAGAACCTCTAGCACTCAAGGAGGAAACCATGCCTCGAGACCACACAGACCCCCTCAAAAGAAGAAGAAGAAGACAAGACAGTGGCATGGTTGCTGTAATGTCTATCACACTTTTAAGGTTTTGATTTGAAGCCTCCACCCCCTCCCCTTGTATTTGCTTCCTTCATGGCACTCACAGCATACAGGTCATAAACATTTGTCATTTTAAATACACATCACAAGGTGAACCAGCGTTTTCTAGAGATGACCTCTCAACCTTTGATGTTGTTTTGCAGAAAATAGATTCAAGACCTGTGAGCAGAGTGGAGAATGGTCAGTATCCGGACAGTGTCAAGGAGAACTCACCTCCGGTCATAGTGACCAGAGCCGGATCAGGTCCAGAGGTGGTTCAGAGAACAACCAGTAAGCCTGTTGATGTTGTCTGTTAGAGGTTGTATTTATTGCAAGCGTGACTTGTTTCTCTGCACTTGAGAAGAAGATGGGCAGGTCTTTACAGACAGGCTTTCATTGGGTTGGAGTCTCATCATCATAAACATCATCATAAACAGCAAAATCATTGTCATCATCATCAATATCATCTTCATCATCATCATTAACATCATCATCATTGTCAAAATCATCATTGTCAAAATCATCTTCATCATCATCATTATTATCTTCATCATCATCAACATTATCTTCATCACCATCAACATCATCTTCATCATCATTAACATCATCTTCATCAACATCATCATCAGCATCATCTTCATCATCATTAACATCGTCTTCATCAACATCAACATCAACATCATCATTAACATCATCATAAACATCAACATCATCATCATCAAATGTCTTGCCAGCTGGCATAGGCGATCATGCCTCTTCACAACCTGCAATCACAGCATTGAATCAGTTCATGTGCTGACACCCCTCCATGCCATGATGAAATACTGTCAATTAGACAATTACTCTTCTTGCATTGCCTTCCTCAAATCTTTCTAAAAGTCCTTACATGCTCCCCCTCCCCTTCCCTCCCGTAGCGTGACCAGAAATGATGTCTCCTTCTGGTGTTAGGATAAGTTATCTTCAGGCCCTTGCCTCTTTCAAAACATGTCTGTTACTCGTTTTGGCTGTTTAGGGAATTTTAAGCTTTTGTCTGTGAAGCCACATCTTTCAGGTCTCAAGAAATTGTTTGGCTTGCCAACTTTATGAAAACCTATTTATGTATGTTTATCTGTGAGTGTGTGTATGGACATACATTTGCACGCGTGGGTGCGTGCGCACACACACTCACACATAATATGCACACACACACTCACACATAATATGCACACACACACACACAGAGACTCACATGTATGTGTACACACACACACATGTTCTTCCATGCACATACTTAGAGGGCTTGTATGTGTGTGTGTGTGTGTGTGTGTGAGAGAGAAGGGGGGGGGGGAGAAAGGTTTAAAATATGGCTGTGAATCCTAAACAAGTAGTAAGCAAACCAGAAGATTCTTTAAAGCCTTATATATTCAGTGTGTGTATATATAACTAATGTAATATCTTTTCATGAACACTATGGACAACCACCTACTTTACTTCTACAGGTAACACAAGCATTAGTACAACAGATTCAGCTGAAGAGTTTGCTGGAGCAACGAATAAGGTGAGATGAAGTGAATAATCTCATTCTCATCATCAGTATCTCAGGTAGTAGTGGAGAATACTTAATAAAAATACACTGCATCCAGTATGAGAATGGAGGTGGAGGCAGTAATGGCAGCTTTCCGATGGCTTGAGAGCAGCACAGACTGACAGACATGTTGTGATTGTAACAGATTCACTGGCATCCTGCACGTGGAGTGGCTTGCATCACTTGATAAAACCCAGATCAAGGGAATTAAATGGACTTTCTGTTCAGGAAATTCTTGTGTATGAGATAACGAGCGGTCTGTTAGAGTGGCTGCTGTGGCTCCTCGAGCCAGTGAACTACTTACTATATGATAAAGTGGATGTGGTGAAGGCTCTGTGCAGGATCAGATGGACAGTTCAGAAGAGCAGATAGATAATCCATACACTGAAAGACTATTTCAACGGGGGTGAGTAGAGATTCTGGAAGGTATTCAGCATTGAAGGGAAAGCAAAGGCAGATTTAATCAAGTTGCAACTGGTACTCTCAGGATGTCAACTCTTCGTTGGTTACTGAAGAAGAGGATGGAGCAGGTATGGGAATGTGCTGAGTGCAGTGGTGTCAGTTCTTGATTCATTAATTCATTTATATTAAAGATAGTGTTATCTCATATCTTACCTAAGTGAATTGATGATTAAATGCATGATGATGATAAAAATCTGAGAACTGCGATCTGTAATAGAAACAGAGATGATTTTCTTCTTTTTCTTTTTCTCCTCCTTCTTCTTCTTCTCCTCCTCCTTCTTCTCCTCCCTTTTATCTTTACCTGTTTCTCCTCCTACTCTTCTTCTTTTTCATCTTTTACTTATAGTCAAGAGTTTTTCTTCTAGTAACTTCATCACAAGTGGATCAAATGGAAAGTACACTTTTTTATGTCTCTGTTATCAGTTGTAATTCCAGAATACCTGGTTCGATTCAGCTACATACAGTTTAGAAGCAGACCATTTTGCATTAATCTCTGTATTGGTATGAAGCCTAGACTGATTAGTAAGCAATGGCAAACGTCTGAACATATAATTACCTGGTAAAACTACGAACAGTCAAAAAATGTTATGACCTGTTATTGCAGTCTCTGTCATTGCACGTTGGGCAATTCCATACATGCTCACTCCTCTGATGCAGCAGCTACTGCTGCAGGGTACCTCTGCTGACTGTTCCCATGAGGAGTTGGTAATAATGTCTTCTGTCTCAGCCTTGAAGGCAGCATAGATGTGCTTTACTATGCTTCATTCCCAAGTCATGCAGTCATGTTAGTGTCTGAGATTGGTCATTATTCACTAGCCCAGTCCATACAGTGTTGGTGATATGTGCTGTATTCATGCTTCTTTGCATATGTGTTTGTGCATTGCTCGCCAGGTGGTCTGCCCACTCATTACCTTTAACACTGGCATGACTATGTGTAAATCCAGGTGAGGGAGGTTAAGTGCAATTTTCAGATGCTTTCAACCAGTTCAGAGCGTTACTATATATATATATATATATATATATATATATATATATATATATATATATATATATATATATATATATTTTTTTTTTTAACTTGTCAACTTTGTGCAGATCTCAAGAGTGGGTGATGGAGTGTACAAAAAGACAACCAGTGTGGTCCGAGCTGTAATGGTTTTGACCAGGGGAGCAGAAAACATGGATGCCAGTTCCTACTTGGACACAGTTAAGGTAATTTGATCATTTACCGAAGATGGGAAATTGGATAAAGAAATTGACATTAGATGCAGTAAAGCAAACCAAGTATTGGGACAGCTAGCCCCCCTCTTACAGCATAAGACAATCCCAGTCAGCACAAAGAGACATCTTATTCAAAGCATATTTATTCCAACTCTGTGCTACCAGTGCCAGACATGGTCATTCACAACAAACCATAAAAGAAAATTAGTAACCACGGAAATGAGATGTCTGAGAAGGGCTGTAGGAGTGACCATAAGAGATAAGATCAGAAATGAGATCATAAGAGAACAATTGGCACAGAACCAATTCTGGATTACATACAAAGACAGCAAGTGAAATGGTTTGCCCACTTAGAGAGAATGCCTTGTGACACCATACCATACAAAGCATACATGGGAAGAGAAGAAGGACGTAGAACACGGGGTAGACCAAGAACAAGATGGAAGGATAACATCAGAGAAACTCTACAACAGCACGATGTGCCTATGGTCGAGGCAGCCAGAAGAGCTAGAAACAGAACCTTATATCTCCCTCGACACCCACAGCGGTAAAAGAGGAAGAGAAGAAGAAGAAGAAGAAGATCATTGGATGCTTTATTTTCCCATTCTTAATTTGCTTGCTCACATTCCAAGATTCACTGCCATACCACAGAACAGGCTCGATATAACATTTCAAAACTCGTTTTCTGATGTTTAATGAGAGTGATTTTATTACATAAGATGCTTTTCATCTTCAGAAATGCTGGCTTTGCCTGGCCAGTTCTGCTCTTAATTTCTGTCACACATCGTCCATCTGATGTTATAAATGTCTCCACACATTTAACTCTTTAAGGCCTGAGCAATGGTGTGAGCTTTGATTGATAAGTTCCATTGTGCCTAAACAACGTTGTCATCGTCGATTGTGTGCTATGATTAAAGTGTTCAAGGAAAGCCACTCTAAATGATTTCCTTTTAGCAACATCCATATCCCAAGCTACATATGCATAGATTGATCAGATTCATAGCTTTTTTTAAACTGCATTTTCTAAGTTCATTTTTGAGTGCCATGAACACCAATGTTCCAACCACAAGTACAGGTCGCAGAATGCGATTTTCTGTGGCCGAAGCTCTGAAATTGTTTCAGTGAGATGTTTTTAATTCTGATAATGATAATGAAAATTTAGATTTTTCGGACAGTGATTCAGAAGGTGAATTTTCACCAGCGAAGCTGAGCAATCAGCTGTTCGGGATCTAGCGATTCTGATGATTTTACACAGACAATGTCCCATTGCTACCGTATTTATGGTGTAAGAGAAGGAAAGTGCTCCAAAGAGACAGTATTATAGTTTGGCTAAGCTACATTGAAATCATTGCAGCTACAGTCTATTTAACTTTACAAAGTGAACAGTAAATAGTGTGTGTAATGGCCCTTTTTTCTGCCAATTTTGCTCAGCATTCTGTGAGAACTAAGAGCCCCTGAGTGCTAAAGTAACCCAGAAACTTATCATAACTTTGGAATTTGTTAGGAAATTTAACAAACGTTGAAGTTTTGTTCTCAAATTTGGATATTCACTACTCTTGTGGCTGCAAAACCATGATAAATAAAAAATTTGTAAAATGTTGTAAAATTTAATCCTGCTGAATTCTTCTTTCCTACTAACTAAAAAAAAAAAAAAAAGAAAATTAAAGATACACTTCTCATCAGATACAAAAATATTAATTTAAAAAAAAAAAATGTACACTTTTATAGGGATTAGAAGTATATTACATTCTCTTACCTTTCTGGTACACCCACCCCTCTGCCATTTTTGTAAAGGGAAATTAACGTGGGCCTAGTCTGTTAAAATTCATGGGCCTGAAAGAGTTAAATTTATTGACTTGGTTGAGAACTTTCACATCTATTGTTATGTCACATTTTGGTGTGATCTTCTTCTTTGATATAAACACTGTTTCTATTTTCTTGACATTCAGGGAAAGTCCCTTCTTTGATTCTGTTTCTATTTTCTTGACATTCAGGGAAAGTCCCTTCTTTGCAGTCTCTAATACCACAATGTCTAATAGTTGTTGGTCTTCTGCGTTTTCAGCTATGAATTGTAAGAATATGGTGTGTGTAATGCTCATTTCTGTTGGAGTGAATGTCTCACTTTTCTGTTGCTCTGATCCCCAGACAATCGGCAGTGAGCTGAGGGATTTGTTAGCTCAGGTAGACAACACTTTGCCTCAATTATCCTCTGAGAGTCATAAACAGGTAAGCATATCATCACCAGTTAGTCAGTACTTGCATGTCATCACCCTCAACATCATCATCATCAGCATCTTTAGAGTAATCAGGTAAATCCAGTTTCAGCTTATAGAAAAATGGGCTACCATATAATTGCTTCATTCCTGTGCCAATGAAAACCACACAGAATGTCTATCAGTCCCTTGTGAAAAACAAAATTGATTTAGGCTGTAATCTTAGCAAATCTAACAGCATTCACATACATTAAATGCACAACACAGCAGTAACAGGTGCCAACACAAACATTCCGACACAAGAAATGCAGTTCATTGTCAATGGAAGCAGCAGTTGCAGCATCATCATTATCATTACCGGTAATAATGTCCCAGGTAACTAACAAGTCAAAGAGGATGGCACTCTGTTAGGTACATCCTGAGAAGAAGCCAGCAGAGAATCATCAAACAATCACTGAAATGGGAAACAGATGGACTCAGGAAATGGGGGTGTTCAAGAGAAACCCACAGTGAATGTTAATGAGACAAGACAAGTTACTGAACAGGCACTGAAATGGGAAGCAGACTGAGGAAATGAGGGCGTCCGAGAGAAACCCACAATGAATGTTAATGAGACAAGACAAGTTACTGAACAGGCACTGAAATGGGAAACAGATGGACGGAGGAAATGGGGGCGTTCAAGAAAAACCCACAGTGAATGTTGTTGAGACAAGACAAGTTACTGAAATGGATTCCATTTATGATATCAGAGAGGACTGCACAGGATAGAACAGACTGGGAGAATAGGCCATGAACCTTGGTGACAGATACTGGGACAATAGCCCATGAACCTTGGTGACAGATACTGGGACAATAGCCCATGAACCTTGGTGACAGATACTGGGAGAATAGCCCGTGAACCTTGGTGACAGATACTGGGAGAATAGGCCATGAACCTTGGTGACAGATACTGGGACAATAGCCCATGAACCTTGGTGACAGATACTGGAAGAATAGCCCATGAACCTTGGTGACAGATACTGGGAGAATAGCCCGTGAACCTTGGTGACAAATACTGGGAGAATAGCCCGTGAACCTTGGTGACAGATACTGGAAGAATAGCCCATGAACCTTGGTGACAGATACTGGGAGAATAGCCCGTGAACCTTGGTGACAGATTCTGGCAGAATACAATGGTGATGAGATTATGTAATAAATAACAGGAAGCACTTTCAATGTAGTGGCAAGCACACTTGCTTATTGGTCAAAGATTAAAATCCCAATGAGGCCATTTTGTTTTTGTTCCATTGGATCGGCACTCCTAGGTTGAGCAGTCTAAAATAAATACCAAGATATGACCTGATTCTGACTATGTCACCTGTGCCGATTACCTCTTTCAGAACCAGCAGATTTCACAAGAGATGCCAGAATGAAGAAACATTAATGTTGAAAAATCATAGATGCATTACTTTAAAAGTGGCACTAGACATAATGTTAGTGAACTGTTGGAAAAGCCAGATTTCTGAAATATGCTGTGATCAATTGTTAAAAGTAAAAGAGCACATTATGCTGTGGAGGATAAAAGCATTCATACATCCAGCATTACTTGGGGCTTTAAAAAAAAAAAGTAAAGCATCCTGTTTTATGCCAATGCCACCTCAGGTATATGAGAGAACCATATTTGTATATACTGAGTTTTGTCAATTATGGGTTCAACATCAGGCCTCAAATGCCAATGGTCTATAAAATCATGGAGTTGGCAACATATTCCTTATGGCATAAAATGCCAAAAACTCCTCTTAACTCTTTCAGTCCCAAGGAATGCATCATGCTTTCATAGGTTCCTACCTAGAAGCCCAATGAACGCAAGATGCACCAATATTATGTCCCTTGGGCCTCTGATGCTAAACCCGCCTTGGACTGAAAGAGTTAAGACTCTGTTCTCAAAGGCTTGTAATAAGGCTTCATCTCTGTTGATGTACTCCAGGTTTCAGAGACACATAGGACAGTTGGTCTTATCAGTGTGTTGTATGTTGTGATCTCAGCATTACAGGATGGAGTGTGCTTACAGATTCTTCTTTTTCTGCTCTTCTTCTTCACATCCTCTTTTACTGCTTGGGGCATCGAGGGAGATAAAAGGTTCTGCTTCTTGCTCTTTATGCCACCTTGACCGTGGACACAGCGTGTTGTTGCAGAGTTCCTCTGATGTTATCTTTGCATCTTTATCACCATATTCGTTGCCATGAGATGATTACCATGTAAAATTGTTGCATCAACCTTCCATTGGCAGATTGAAATGGCCCAGAAAGTGCTGTCGACAGACATGGCCTCGCTGATCAGTGCAATGAGGCTGGCTCTAGAGAACTACTACACACCCTTGCTGGCAGAGTACAGGAAGGGGATGCTCAAATCTGCTCACGCACTGGCTATGGACTCCAAGAACCTTCTAGATATTGTTGACTCTGCAAGATTAAAGCAGGTATCCTAGACTGTCATCATGTTTATGGAGATGTTCACGGATGTGGCTGCTAGCTGTCATTCACGGGATGTGGCTGGCTAGCTGTCATTCACGGGATGTGGCTGGCTAGCTGTCATCATACAGTGTTGTGACATCTAAATTGGTGGCCACAAAGTTTCAGCCCACCAATTAAATAATTGAAGCTAGGAGGAAAGCTTCAACTGAAATCCTTAAAATTTTACAGAAATAACAGCAACCATGCCTGTGCCTTGTATGCTGTCAGTATTGTTGTTAAGGATGTCCAGAGTGTTAAGCCTGGGACATCGTGGTGCAGACAAATGTGGTGACGTCGTAGTGGCAGTTTAAAGGAAGCCACCCCACTTATATGACAAAGGCATGCTTTACCAAACTGACATTTGCAGATGAATTTCTATTGGTTTCGCTCCTTCCCTGATCACAACATGGATAAAAGAATGCTGCTCCTTTTTAGTGCATGTAAAAGTTGGGCGGCCATCTATAAACTCATCACGTCAATGTATGCATCTGCATGGTGCTGTCATGTGCTTAACACTCTTGACATCCTTAAATTTAAGTTTTTCATTTGAAGACCATCATACATACTATTATGGAGTATTTCAGCAACTGCCATTTTAGGGCAGAATGACGACTGCAGTGAATGCCCTCAGTAAATGCAGTACTCCATAACAATAGAGAAAATCAGCTACTCACTAGGTGGTCTGAAACTTGTGGCCACCACTGTAGATGTTCATCATTCTTATCTATAATTCTCTAGCCATTGTACATTGTGTATTTCCCCACTGTGGGCTTTAGTCTAAAACCTTATTTGAGGGGTTTGTTGAAAAGGGGGAGAGGGGAGAAAAGACCCGCTGTTACTTAACAATTGTGTCATGTACCGTGACTAGTTAGGTGTATACCGGATGCGTTGGGCTGAAAAGTGCAATCATAGCCTATCTGTAAACCCCTTTTAAGACTTAAAAGGATTATTGTTTTATGCATAGCTAAAGGATATTGATACAAAAGAAGCATATTTAGAGGATGCTGACGTAAGTGATGGATAGATGGGATATCCGAGGCCGTGAAGAGCAGCATCTATGTTACAAACACCATGGCTCGCAGCAGATGCCTGTTCAAAATCTGACGCTGAATAACAAAACAGGGTCTAGAGAGAGAGAAAAAATGGAAGGATATAGGTAATTACCAGCAGGAACTATCAGGGAGCATCTTTGGTGCATGTCAAAAGTGGGGGCGGCCATCTTTAAACTGTCAGTATGAGGTCACTGTGTTCCTCTGCACAGTGATGTCAAGTATCAACCCTCCTGACATTCCTAACAGTAACCAAGAAAGTGGTGTGGTTATTGTAATTTGTGTCTCACTTTTAAGTCTTTGCTTCAAGTCACCTCACAACTGCTGCTTGTTGATTGTGGGGATATGAGGATATATACATCCAATTGGAATATGATGACGGTCGTTAGCGTTCTAAATCTTAGGCAATTAGTTAGTGAATCACGGTGTTTACGGTTATGTGCAATATGCAGTAATGACACAGTGAAAGAAGAGCAGTTTGTTAGTTCATTAATCCAGCGTTTCCCATTCTGTTGTCCACAGACAAATTTAAGGTGTGTGTGAAATCATTTCACTTCAAAACAGTCATTTATGTTATTCTCATAATCTCTCAGCAGGTCAGAATGTCACTCTCATCACCTCCTGCCTGAAAGAAACTCTCACCAGTTCTCCTGCAGTTTCAAACTCAGGGACTCACTTATATCCATTGCCCATTTTCATGCTGGTCGACCCCTGCCCCTCCTTCCTGGCACCATGCTTTCTGCTATTATTTTTTCCAATCTGCTTTGGCCCTTGATATGACACAAATATTTCAGCTTCCAAGATGGTGTGTGTAAGCTAAAATTCCTGGATGTTCAGATCTTTTAGGATGTCAGTTTTTCTTTTCTTCATGGTCCTTGACATTCTGGTAATATTTTTGTAGCACTTCAGCTCAGAAGCCCTTTTTTTTTCTGTGATTTTAATATTTATATATATTATAATAAGTTCATCAGTATGACTGTTAAAAAGTTTGGGGTCTGTGGAAGACCATCTTAAAAAGAAAAAGAACAAACAAAAAAAACACAGGAATCCGCAGGTCTTAGCATGTTGGGTATCCCCGCAATTAACCCATAGATTATTCAGCGTAAACCAGTTTTTATTAAAACAATGTTTTTTTGTTGTTGTAGATTTAAAAATGTGGACACGAACACTACTTTACACATTTTATTGCCTGGCATATTTCATGGTATCTCCTCAGGTGCATTACCACAGGGTTATATCTACGTATCATGAAGATTACAAATAAATCCTTTCACTGAAAATGTACAGCCTAGCTTATGAAAATTTGATTTTTTAAATTAGAAAAAAAAAATTTCATTTGTGTGCTTCACAAAATGTGGATTTAACTCTGTAATAATGAACTCGATGACATACAGCCAAATATGCCAGTCATTAAATTGTGTTGTTTGGTCTGGTGTGATTTAAATAAACAAATTTGATTCCTATATTTCATTACTTTGCATACATTATATTTATTTGCTTTCATTATTTCATTAGCACAATTCAGCAGTGGTGATTATTACATAAATATTAATGTACAGTTGTATTTATATTAAGTATAGAGAGTTCTGTTTCTGCTGGAAGATTAAGGAGTTCTGGTGTTATTGTAATTGAAACATAATTTATCAAGTTACTGGCTTTAAAAATAAAAAAAGTTACTAACAAATTTATTTTACATGTAAATATGTGTGGCGTGTGTGTGCATTTTTGTGTGGCTTGACTGATTCATTTTGTTTTCAAAATTGTTACATGATTTGTTTAAAGAAAAGCATAGAGAGCTTAGCAGCATACATGGCTTCGGCGTTGCGATTCCGACTGGTAATTCCAACATACCGTGATCGAAACCCACTGCTGGCTGCATGGATTTTTATTATGGTGTGGGGCGTCGCAGGTCAACCCAGCCAAAAGTGGATACCAGGATGTATGTCCTGGGGAAGTAAAGATGGCCAGCGTAATGCAGACCACATTACCCAGATTAGTCTGTAAAAATATGAAAAAAATATGGGTGCTCTTCACGTATGCCCGATGCACATAAAGGCATGAAAAGGGATATTTACTTTTTTTTTTTTTTTTTTAAATTATAGACAGCTTACAGATAAAAGTAGAAATTTTAAGAATTATAGGAACAATCCACTGTTGTTTGTTTCTAAGGAAGAAACAATAATGTTTAGGTTTTGTACAGCATGTCACAGTCTCAGAGCATACTTACAAATATCAGGCAAGAATCTCAAACAACTGAATTAATTCCACTGAAATAACATCACACAGTCTCTCTCCATAGATTGTTAGTTTGAATTGAAACTACAAGTATTTGTATCCAATTAATTTATGAAGGGGATGACGTCATGCAGCATTTGCAGGGATGACATCATGCAGTGTTTGCAGGGATGACATCATGCAGCATTTGCAGGACTGACTGACAACAGCTGTAAGCCAAATGGTCTTTGCACCTGTTCCAGTGTGGGATGTACCACTTCCATCCCAACCCCACCTGTTATGGAACTAGTGGCTGCCTACACCAGAACAAATTGTGTTTGTTGGTACAATCTTTTAGGTGACGGATAAGGCCAGTCTTGGCATGGAATGTTCTTGGGCTGTGTGGGCAGGGCATTTTGGGCCATATTAGTTGGCAGTCACATTGTTGAGGATACTAGCCTTATCATTGTATGAGGAAATGCAACCTGAAAATGTACTGTTACTTAGAGCAGACCAGGCCCCAAGCTGGCAGCTGGTCTAGAAAGGAAGCTCTGACACCCACTATCTTCCTCAATGTGCTTCCAACCTATCTTCCTTAAATGTGCTCCCAATCTATCTTACTCAGTGTGCTCCTAATCTATCTTCCTCAATGTGCTCCCAATCTATCTTCTCCAAAGTGCTCCCAATCTATCTTCCCCAATGTGTGCCCAATCTATCTTCCTCAATGTGCTCCCAATCTGTCTTCCTCAATGTGCTCCCAATCTATTCTCCTCAATGTGCTGCCAATCTATCTTCCTCAGTGTGCTCCCAATCTATCCTCCTCAGTGTGCTCCCAATCTATCCTCCTCAATGTGCTCCCAATCTATTCTCCTCAATGTGCTCCCAATCTATCTTCCTCAGTGTGCTCCCAATCTATCCTCCTCAATGTGCTCCCAATCTATTCTCCTCAATGTGCTCCCAATCTATCTTCCCCAAAGTGCTCCCAATCTATCTTCCTCAATGTGTTCCTCTGAACTAGGCTGTTGGTATCATTTATGATGTCAGGTCTTGCATACACCATTGTTTTCCTCAACCACAGACAATTCACATTTTACACTGTCTGTTTTGAACACTGAAGCCATCTGTTTTCTTATTGATGTTACTGCTTCTCCCTGAAAAATATGTTTGTGTTTTGTGTGTGGCTGTGTACTGTAAATGACTGCATATTGCACGAATAAATTGTCATTTGTACATACTACGACAAAGATTATAATAACTATTTTTTTGAATTAAATGTAAATGGTAAATTGATGACATTCTTTTTTTATTTTTAATTTTTATTTTGTGTAAGTTTGTGAACTCAGTCTAACCTGTGTGTTGGAGCAGAAGATAACCACACAACCCCTAACAAACATTTGTTAAGATGACTAACTATCTAAGTATTGCTGTATTGGGCTGCAAGGTGCGATAGCGCCGCCCAGCTGTAAAACAGACCACAGCATACCAGCCGCCCTTTTTGAACCGCCCGCAGTATATGTAGGAGAAGAGAAAAGAACCCAGTCCACCACTCTTAGGGAATATGATGAGTCTTGGGAAGAGGGGATATTGTAGGTACAGCTCTGCCAAACAAGCAACATACACATTTCAGTTCTGTACGTGGGATCTCCATGTGTGAAGCTGTTGGTGTGTTGGTGGGCAGTAGCATTTTACTGACTGCCTGTTTACTGTAGACT